TTTTCAAAAGGAATATGTGAAGACTTAAATTTGGAAAATAGAGCTAATGCTGGAAGATACCTTTTGAAGGAGAAAGAAAGGTAGAAGACAAACTAAACCTGTGAGCCAAGGTCAAAGAAGAATCCTCAAACTGTGCTGTTAACTTGGACAGTAGGACAACAGCCCTGTTCCCAGTGGGTTAATATTGGACTGGTGAGTCATCATCAGGAGGCTGTTAGAACAGAGGCCAGGAATTCAAATGCCCGTAGTTGGGACTACCAAGAGACTGGAGTTGAAAGCAAGGGTGTAGCCCCGAGGGACAGGAACTCGAAGGTCAGAGCAAGAGCAAGACTGACGCAGTCTCAAGTATGTTGATGTCATAAAGGACCTTAAATATGTTCCTCTTTTTAAGGTCTGATTGGTCTGGGAAAATGGGGAGATAGCGCACCTGCAAGGATGTTAGTATAGTACATGCTGTTACAGCTCTTTAGACTTTTGGTAATCATTGACACATGTCATACCAAAAGCTGTTTAGGAAAAAAATAAAGGAATAGGCAACTGTAACATTAAGATAGACTTAAATATCAGTATTCTTTGACTTAGAAAGAAGGTGATGGAAAATTATCTGAAATCAAGTAAATTAGGAATTGTTCATGAACAACAGACATCCCATGAAGTATTATGTGAGGTAAATTTGCATCAAAAAGTGTTACTTCACACTCAGGGCTAATAAACTTGCTTCCTTGCATGTGAGAATCAAGTAAAATGCAGAAAATAAAGGCACTGGTGTGGGATTGATGATTTGATGGCCCGGAAGAACGCTTGATTCCATAAGTAGTGGTTGTAGAAACTAGCTTGAAGAGGAGGATTTGGGGCAGGCAGTAAGGAGCAGTTGTCATAGGGAAATGAATCCCATGGAGTTCTACAGACTTAGAATTGAGGGTATTTTGAAGAGTACAAGGAAAGGACTTAGAGTTTGGGATATGTAGGATGTGGGAAGAACTAATTGGATATTAGAATTTGAGTGGTGGTAGGAGACCCATGCCAATATTGTGGAAGAAGGAGTTAACAGCTAATGCAGAGATATATGCAACCATTATTAAAACTGGAGTGTGATGGCTGGGCACTAAAAGGTGCTTGGGCATCTGGCTGCATGAAGGAACTTGAAGTGAAAGCAGAATTGAAAGACTGCTGGTCTGGGTTTTGGAGAGCTCAGGTCTAATCCTGCCCCCTGAGACCACTTCCATTTTGATCATTTTGGATCTGTTTTAGCTATAAAATAAAAGCACTCGATTATGTTACCCTAAATCCTTTCAAGCTCCTGATATTGAGCTTTTTACAAAGAGAGTATTGTCATTACTGATTGAAAATATAAACAGATATTTTTTAAAAGTTGAATAGTCATAAAAGCCTGGACCACAGTTGATCAGAGGGGAAAATTTCAGATGTTTTGGAGCATGTCTCTAACTTGGAAGATATAAAGGAAGGTGTCCTGCCCTCTCACAATAGAGTCTTTGTCAGATGATCTAACAGCCTGGGTGGGCCACGAATCTCAACCTAATTTTGTGCTTGTAATATTTGAAGGGATACTGAATTCCAAGCCTTTTTCTCTATGCTTCTCAAATTAAGTGATCCACAGTGGTATAATATCCACTACTGTATTCTCTTATAGCCGTGCTACATAAGGTACAGTTCATAGACCAGCAGCATCAGCATCACCTGGGAGCTTGTTAGAAATGTAGAATCTCACACTCGTACTGACCTAAATCAAAATCTGAATTTTAATATTATCACTAAGTGATATGTGCGCACATTAAATCTTGAGAAGCACTGCTTCTATAGCTGTGGTTCTCAAACTTTAACAAGCAGAATCTCAAGAAGAGTTTATTAAAAATGACCTACCCAGGGTCTCTGATACAATAGATCTGGAATAGAGGCCAAGAATTTGCATTTTTAACACCCTTATAACCACAAAAGCTTTTACTAGAAACTCTTACTTTAATCACATTCTATTTGTGATAATCTGTCCCAGGTTTTTTTAAAATTTATTTTTCAATTACAGTTGATATACATTCTGTTAGTTTTAGGTGTACTACATAGTGATTAGGCATTTATTATGAAGTGATCACCGCAATAAATCTAGTACCCATTTGACACCATACACAGTTATTACAAGTAATATTGACTCTATCCCCTATACTGTGCTTTGTATCCCTGTCATTATTTTGTAACTGCCAATTTGTACTTTTTAATCCTTCGCACCTTCAGATTTGTTTTAAATCTTTTCAATAAGACTATACTTTCTTGTTTAGTGTTTTTTTTGCGGGGGAGGGACATCTTTAATAATTCACATACCATATAGTTCACCCATTTAAAGTGTACAATTCAGTGGCTTTTAATATATTCACAGTTGTGTGTAACCATTACCAAGTCAATTTTAAAACATTTACATCACCTTAAAAAGAAACCTCATATAGGTGGAACACAAGATTTTTAGGCCAGGTGGACACCTGACATTATGCATTTGTCAAAACCTGTATAACACCAAGAGTAAACCCTACTGTAAAGTATGGACTTTGGTAATGATGGATGTAAGTTCATTGATTGTAACAAATACACCACTCTGGTGCGGATGTTAATAATGGAGGACACTATGTGTGTGTGTGGTAAGCGGGTATGTGGAAACTCTGTACTTCCTGCTTAGTTTTGCTGTGACCCTAAAGCTGATCTAAAAAAATGAAGTCTATTTAAAGAGAGAAACTCCATAACCATTAGCTTATCACCCCCATCCCCACATCCCACCAAACCTTAAGCAACCACTAATTATCTTGTATTTCTTTTGCGTGGTACAAGTATTTGGCAAGATGTTAGATGTATTATTAATAATAATAGTTAACATTTATTAAGAGCTTAATATGTGCAAACAATTGCATCATCTAATGTAATCTTCATGACAACTTTATGAGGTTGGCATTTATTGTCATCTCAAAACTGAAGATGTCGATTGACAGATTAAATGACTTGTAGTATCGCCAGTAAAAGATCAAACTGCCATTCTGTCTAGGTCTCTAATTCCAAAACTCATGACATCTATTGCTAATAAACTGAATTTTTAAAGCTATACAAACTTTATAAGAAATTTTGCCACAATGTTTTAAAATTTAATGGAAATGCTTAAGTTTTTATGTTTTGTTAGCTTGCTGTGAAATTTGCTGCATGTTCCACACTCAGTCTAATCGACAACATGTATGGTTATACTTTCCTCTTTTATACTAATCTTCCACTACAATTTGTTTCGTCTTAATATTGATGAGTTTTGTTTTTATTTTATCAGTGATGAATTTTCTATTATTATAGGAAATTCTTGGACATTTAAGCTTTTTTTAATCTCTTAGTTTTTGTATTTATAAGAGTAACACTGAATATTATACAGTTGTGTAAAAGGTGGTAGTTTATCTGTATCAATATGGAAAATCTAATTTTAAATTTTAAATTTTAGAAAAGCTATAGAGCAGAATATATAGTATAATCTCATATCTCATGTGTAAAATAAACAATATATGTATATTATATATAGTCTAAATATTCATAGGTAGTGTCTGGAAAGATATAAAAGAAACCCCTGAAAAAAAAAGGAAAGAAAAGAAACCCCTGAGAGTATGATTGTGAAAGCCAGAATAATAGGAGAGGGACTTTCTACCTTTCTGTTTTGTTTGAATTTTTTTCTTTTTCACTTTTAAGTTTCTCTCTCCACCCTTTTCACACCCTCACCTTTACCTTTGTTTTCCTCTCATTTCCTTTTTCTTTTTTTTTTTTCTATAGCCTGGTGTGTCTGTCACCACATCCTCTTTCAAGCTCATATAAATGCGCAGATACATAAATGTACAGATATATATAAATATATAAAGAGCTTTGGGGGGGGTCATTATTTTTATAAAAATAGGATACTATAAATTTTTGCCTGGAACTTGCTTTTCTTAGTATGGACATCTGTTTCTACAAGTAGATCAGGTTCTTTCTTTTTAATAGCTACGTACGGTGCATATCATAATGTAATGGGCTTCTTACTGGTAGAAGTTGTTGACCAAATGGTCAAGGGAGGTTTTAAGTAGGAGAGCATAGATTAGAACATTTCTGTACTCTTTAGAAATTCAGATTGACTTGTGTTAATTATCAACTTTATATATAAAGTGGTCAAATATCAGATATTTTATGTGGCTCAACCTAATGCATGCTTTAGTGATGGAGGCTTAGTAGAGCATCTTTATTTGCCAAGCAATCTTTTTTCTCTCTTATGTTTTAGAGAAGGATTTGCTCAAAGGAGGAAAGAGGAAGGATTTGGATTGATCCATGTTTGAAGGGAATTGTGACGTGGAGTGGTATTCTAATTATTTTAGGATGTTTCATCATTTCATCTCCACTCCCACCCCCACGTACAATAGTTATTCTTTCCAGTTACTTCTTATCTCTTGTCTCTCTTTTCTTTCCAGGTAGTGAGAAATGAGACAAAAGGAAAGAACATTTTTCTAGCTCTTCTTTTTCCTCACTTTAAACTCTGAATTGGCCTTTTTGAATAAGTAGTTGCAGTTTCTTACGTCCCAGTTTCTTTGGTTCTTTTCCAAAGATAGCACTTTTTTTTTTTTATCCTTGTTACTCATAGAATATGGAAGGTATGACAGGTTGAGGGGTTTCAAGTGAATTTTCTTTTTATAGAACATAAACAGTGAAGTATTAACACCTAAGAGATTGAGAAGGAAAGTTTCAGACTGTAAAGGGAGTACTGAAGTTAACACATTATAGCAAGAATCCTCCCTGGGATATGGCCCTTTACAACAAGAGCCATAGTTGTATCCCCATAAAAAAGTGACTTAACTTCCTCAAAGGATGTGTTCTAAGCAAATGTGTACTTTCAGTATTTCCTCAAATAAGAAAACAATTCTTTGGAAGATCTTCCCTTTTACGGAAATGTGGTCAAACCTGTATATAAATAACTTTATTAAAATCCTTAGCTGTCGGCAAGCCAAATTATCACCAGTGTGAAAATTATTGTTCGCATCCTAGGCAGCTGCTGAGGAAGCAATCCTGCATGCGTCTGGAAATGGCAAACCTTTACTGTCTAAGGACTATTGCATGCTATATAACCCTCATTGGACAGCTCTTCCAAGTACCCTAGAAAATGCAGTAAGTAAATCATAGTTACTATTTATTTGTAATCATAGAAAGAATCGAGAGGTGAAAATAAGTGATGATTATGTTTTAGTATATGAACTGATTGTAATATATGGTGATTAATAAGTAATATTCATTTTATTGCTTTTGCTTAAATATTTTTCTCTCTGTGGAAAAAAAATAAGTTAGGGAACTTTAAAATACTTCAAAGCCTAATCGTCATAAAAAAATATTTATAACTTAAAAGAAACTTGTGTTAAGCCAATAGATACTTCGTCACTAAATGCATTTAGGGTGAAATATGATATTTGTCATATTAAAGACATTTCTTTTTTTCAGACTTCCATTAGTTTGATGAATCTGACTTCCACACCACTATGCAACACTTCTGATATTCCCCCTGATGGAATAAAGAACAAAGCAGTTGTGGTACAGTGGGGAACCTGCCATTTTCTTGAAAAAGCCCGAATTGCACAAATAGGAGGTGCTGAAGCGTTGTTGGTTGCCAATAACAGTGTCCTAGTAAGTTATGAAACTGTAATGACTTCTTTTGAGCTCATGGTATCAAATTTCACAGATTGAATTATTTTCTTTGTGTGTGTTTTAGGGGCTGAGTTTTGAATAATCTGATGGTAGGATTCTTTTTAAATAAACATTCTGGTTATGTATTAAATTGGAAAATTTTGTAGTTTCTTTTCTATTCCTAAAGTAGACAAGACTTTGATAGGAACAAATATGTATATGTATGTGTGTCTCTGTGTGTGGTACATGTGTTTGATATACCTGTATATATCAGTTTGAGAACGCTTACTGTATTGAGAAAGAACATGTGAAAGTTTGTTTTATGACTTCAAAAAAGATGTAATACTTATATTTAATGGAATAATTTGTATTTTATTCTGTAAAAATACTAGTATTTCATGTTTTCATAATATGTTTTTTTCTTTTAGTTTCCTCCCTCAGGGAACAAATCTGCATTTCATGATGTGAAAATACTGATTGCATTTATAAACCGCAAAGACTTTAAAGATATGAAACAGGTAAATTAGTAATTACATATTAGACAAAGTTTATTAATAGAACAGCTCTTTGCTTTTAACCATTGATATTTAAATGATTTTACGTGCCCCATTTGCTATCGAGAAGCTGTAAATGCCTAGCAAGTCTTTACTTGGGAAGTATTCACCTCTCGTTTAACACAAGATGTTTCAGAGCCCTGACTGTAGAAAGGATATGTGTTTGTTTCTACTTTCAAAATCTCTAATTGTGTGGAACACTGCCCTTTCAAGATTTAATAAACCAAAGTCTAGCCTCATAATTTTGACAAGAGAATATATCATGTTGTCAAAAATAGTTGTAGTATTCTTGACTGTCTGTTGTATAGTGGCTATTCCGGAGTGAAAATGGACATACACTGACATACACTGTAATAAAAAGAAAACTAAACCCAGTGTTTTAATTCTTATTTTTTGCCTTTCAGACTCTTGGAGATAACATTACTGTGAAAATGTATTCTCCATCATGGCCTAACTTTGACTATACTGTGGTGGTTATTTTTGTAATTGCTGTATCCACAGTGGCACTAGGAGGATACTGGAGTGGACTAATTGAATTGTAAGTTTAATTATACTTCAGTGTTTTTGTAATATATGGTTAAAAGTTATTGTTTGATAATCATTTTAATCATGTGACATTTAAAATTCTACCTGACCCCAGAATATGATGCCATTAAGATTATATTACAGTTTGTCCACATTAGGTCATTTAACTTTTGACTGAGAAGAAGGGAGTCATAGGTTCCTTTGACTCTTCTGGAGGTAGAGAAACATTGAAATTCCATCAAAGATTCCTTTAAATTAAGATGTTTAATGATCTCTCCCAGAAAAGGTGAAAATACTTAGTGTCTTAACATGCCTATTTATTTTGATTGGAAGAAAATAAGTAAGAGGAGGTAGGGAGTTTTTCAGCTCCTTCTGAGTTGAATCATTACAGTGCAACCTTATCATTCTGTTCAGTGCTGTAGGAGTCCTAAGGATATTAAGCATGTCCGTATTTTAATTTAAATACAGAAATTCCAAATGTACATAAAATTTGGATTTCCCTATTTAATAACAACCTATACCCAATATTATAGTTATGTACCTTTGGCTCTAAATTAAAGCAGGCAATATCAGTTCATATTTATAACTGAACAAAAAAATGTGTTCAGAGCATATTATTTCATTCATAAAGAACAGTATGTTCACCTTGTGAATTAGTCTATAGGTTTCATTAAAAAGGGCTTATTTGCAACTAAATGAAGCTAATAAGCTTATTTGTAATTACTTAAAATACTAAAATTTGATTGACTTACATCAAGAACGAAATCTTAGAGTTTAACAAGTCTAGGTTCCTGGAGGATTGAACTTTAGATATTTTACATATTCGGAAAACATGGTTCAACATGTATCAGTCACATGTTTTCATGTAAACATTTTTTTTCATTATTAATCTTTATGAAGCATACTATATAAGATCTCCAAGATTATTTTCTAGATTATTTGGTGAAACTTTATAATTTCCCAAAAGCTACTGATTTGTTAAACATCTTTTCCCATTTAATATAGATTCTCCCTGTACTTCCATTACTATGTAAATTGTTTCTTTTGAGTAGTGCTTCTTAAACTGTAATGTGCAGGAAAAATGTTCATGAAAAGTAGAATTATTAAGAACATAAAGACTATTACTTAGCAAGTAAAGAGTAAGATAAAAGAAGGGGAAAGAGAATAAGGCTTAGGGAAGGGAAAATTTGCCAGAACAGGACCTCATAACTCAGAATTACCCTGCCATATGAAAGGTGCACCTTATGCAAAAAGGAAAGATGCCTTGGTCCCATATACAGACTTTTCAGTCGAGACTTAAGTCTTATTATAATGAAATCACTGGTCCTCAAGCTTCGTAAACTCAAGATGGCATGGATGAAAGAGCTTAGCTTCCCTCCCATTGTGGCTCTTGAGAGATTTAAGAGTACAATTTTTTAAACAGATGATTTATAGTATCAAATTAATGTGATATCAATCTAGTAGATGTTTTCCCTTCAAGAAATTGCCTGGTGCTTTTTAGTACACTCACTCAATATGAATATATAAATCTTTCATTATTATGGCTTACATATGTGCTATGATAAAAACGTTTTTAAATGTATCTCTTTGTAATAATTGATACCAAAAGTTGGCATGTTTTCCCACTCAGATATCACTTTTATTGAAACTTATGTTAATAACCCCATCATCCAGCTCTTCAGTTTCAGGGAGATGCTGCTGTGTCTCTCGCCAAACTCTGTCCTTTCTCTTATCCCAGGCAGCCTTCCTAAAGTCATAGATGCGTACTGTGGTGGCCATCCCAATCAACAATTTTCTAATAAGAAATCGACACCTTGGTGAATAAGCAGTTTGGCCAATGTGCAATTTGATAAGAATAGTCTTTTTTTTTTTTTTTTTTTTTAATCTGAAGTTTGTATTGAGCTGCAGACCTGATAAGATGGGAACAGAGTTTAGTAGACCAAAGTTGACAGGATTGGCGATGGAACAGTATGTAGTGGCTTCCGTAGGACTGGGAGGAGATAGTAAGTGACAGAACAGAGACTGCTCAACAAAGGACACTTGTGGCTCTTTCTTCTTCAGCTTCTATCTCTGTTTTATTAGCTGTGAGACCTAACAAGGGTTACTGGAGGAATTAGAAATAATATTTTGCTATCTCAAATCAAGGTAGAACAAAGCTATGTCTTGAACTTCTTTCGAATCCTTCATATTACATTGATGAGCACTGAATAGGCATGTAGTAAATACTGAGTGGATGGATAGAAGAATTTAGTTTTACATTTGAAAGAAGCTAACTTTGGAAGTACTTTACTATGTGCAATTGATAAGTGTGTAAGAAGAATTGGTATTGTCTGAAATTTATTACATCAGTATGGTATCCAAATTAAATATTGTAAAATTCCACAAACATTAATTTGTTTATATAATAAATGTCATTCATTTTAACAATTTTGCCTTCAGAAAAAAACGCTGTTTCAAAAGTTAGTGATTAATAACAGATTATCTTTGGAGTATAGAATTATGGGAGTTTTTTTCTGTCTGGATTAAATATTTCTTTTTTGGCGTACAATTTTTTTTAAAGTATATTACTTTATAATCAGTAACAAATTTAAAATTTAAGTTAAAGACAGATTTTAAAAATAACTGCTTGGCAGAGTTTTGTTGAAGTTCCCGTGTATGTTTATGCAGGGAAAACATGAAGGCAGTGACAAGCACTGAAGATAGAGAAATGAGAAGAAAGAAGGAAGAATATTTAACTTTTAGTCCTCTAACAGTTGTAATATTTGTGGTCATCTGCTGTGTTATGATGGTCTTACTTTATTTCTTCTACAAATGGTTAGGTAAGAGATCATATTTTATATTTGCTACTTTTGGTGTACAATCTTTTTATTTACTTTGCCAGATGTATCTTTTTCTTTCTACCTGGAAAACTTAAGTAAATAATTAAGAAGTGATATTAACTTTTTAAATTGTCAGAAGTGTTAGGTCTGCATTACTCTGGAATAAAAATATTCAGATTAAAAATGTACTATGTCTTCAGATAAGAACACTTCTTCATGGATGACTTGAAAGAATTGCTATGGTTTCTAAATTTCCCTCTCTGCAGATAAAGCTTGATAGCCTAGTATCTAAAGAGCAGACTAAGGACTTCTTGGTGGCTATATTTAGTTACATGAAATAGAAGGCTATTCAGATTACTGAATTATTGTCTCTGCTTATCCCCAAAATGTAGTTTATTCTTCTTTTTCAGTTTGCAAATCAAGATGTTATATTGCTTGAATTTTGTTTTACTTCTATAAACAGTTGGGATCATAACACATCTAAAGACACACAGGTACTTGCCTGCGATCTAGAGAGTAACTGATATTTTTTCCTTTGAGAAGGTAGAAGTAGGAACTGTAATGGCTTGTCCATCCCCTGAACAATCTTAATGGTTTGATAGGATGGAAATTTGCCATCTCTGACCAACGTACAACACAAAGAGAGACTGGTGAGATCAGAGAAAAGGGAGATGTGCTCGATGAGAACTAGCAAAAACCCTTTGTCAAAACCACCAAAGGCTACAGTGCTTATTTGGAGAACATTAGTACAATTTTCTGGACTAGAAAACTGAGGCCCTAAGGTTTCAGCTTATTCAATTTCTCTTGTCCTGTGGCAGCAATTAAAAATACAACTTATGACGTGTATTTCCAATTAGAAAAAAAATCATTCTTTGAATATCACTCAGATTTCAATATATTGCTGGGAGAGTGGGTACTAGGATGCTATTTGTATCATATCATTGAGCGATTAATTTTTCTATTTTGATAGCCTTCAATTGTTTGTGTCTGACCCTCAGACAATATGTTAGTGGTCTTTGATAGAAAAAGAGATTTCGCCACCCTACCATAAAGCGTGTGTTTTTTTTTATGAGAAATTTCCTTAAACCGATTGCTATTTAAAAAGTTGACCCTGTTTATAAATGTAATTTTGACGTAGGAGGAAACTTATCCTAGGACATGGGATTTTAATTATGATTCAGAATGTCTTGTGTGATATTGCAAGATCTAATTTACTTCCAACTGATTTCTTATGGCTAAAATTGCTGCCTTTTCTTAATAAATTAAATAATGGGACTCTGTTAAATGCTAGGATTCCCCTTACCATTTTATGATGGTCATGCTCAAATTCTTTTCCATGCTTAATCATTTTCTTAGATATAGTATGACACCGAATGAGACACCTAAAACTCTGTTATGGCTTCAAGAGCATGATTTCTACCGTGTTTTCAAACTTGGGTTGGAGACTTTGGTGGATGACTTTCTAACTTGACTTGGCAATCTTTGTCTGTCTTACCACTCATATTACTGTATATAAGCAATAATAAAAATGACAATAAATAACAATTATATAAAGCTTGTTATGTGCCAGACACTGTTGTAAGCATTTTACATATATTAACTTATCCTCACAATAACCTTGATATGGGTATTACTACATTTTAAAGATGAGACTCAAGGGACTCAAATGGTAATTTGTCCAAGATCACCAATTAGAAAGTGGCTGTTCCTGATTTACTGCCTGTAGATTACTCTCTCTTTCTCACAGCACAGTTACAGTTTTCTGAAATTTAGTAGAATTTGAAAAATTCAGGTAAAATTTGCATTTTCATTATGAAGTTTTGGTAAAGTTCAGAAAATGAATATTTTTATTTTATTTTAGAATACAATAATTTCGTCTGAAATTTTAACGGCAAAGAGATAAAATGTTTTTAATTTTAAAGAATTCTCAGATAAGTGTACCTACTATAGAAAAACACTTGTCAATTTTAACTACCTTAGTATTGTATTATAAAAAAAAGGTTTGTTTAAATAGGTTTGGTTTTATCACAGATAAATTCCACCATGGGAAAATAGAGGTAGCATAGCTAATGTCTCAGGTCTCAGTTCTACATTTTAAAAAGTGTTTGTAATAGTTTATTAATTCTTCCATTCCTTAGTTAAAATTGAATATTTATAAAAGTCCACAGCTCATTTCATAGAAATCTTTAACAAACACGTTACTTTGAATCATTGAATGATAGAAAATGTAGAGCCAGCTTCAGCCCCCTAGGCAATCCTACCAATGTATAGTGTAACTAAAACAACACATAAAATACCCGCTCTTAAAACTCAGGAACTTAATATTTTCAGTTTAGTAACCAATTTGGATTATAGTATGGTCATTGCATTGAAAGTACCTCATTACTTTCTCATTAGCCAATGAGAAAGCTAAAGAATTAATATTGCTTGTGTAGATATTTCTCTGTCACCTTTTTTTTGGTTCTCATATAATTTAGTGTCTTTTTTTTTTCTAGTTTATGTTATGATAGCAATTTTCTGCATAGCATCAGCAATGAGTCTGTACAACTGCCTTGCTGCACTAATTCGTAAGATACCATATGGACAATGCACGTATGTATCTCTTATGAGGAATCCTATTTTTGTGTTTGTAACTTAAAACAATACAAGAAAAAGTTAGAGTCTCATTTTAAACCTGTGCAGTTCAATATACATGTGGCTATTTAAACTTAAATTAATTAAAATTAAATAAAATTAAAAACGTATTTCTTAGGCCTATTAGCCACATTTCAAGTGCTAAATAAATAGCCCCATGTGGCTAGTGGCCTCTGTGTTGGACAGCACAGATAAAGAATATTTCTGTCATCACAGAAAGTCCTATTGAACTGGTAAATATTTTATTTTATTGTGTATCATTTGTTTTACTTAAAATCAAGACTTTTAAATTGGTACTTCAGTAGCTTTCTTGTGACTGTGGTTAACATTTGTCATTTCTCATATTAAGTGAACAGTTTATTTCATCTGCAGAGTTAACCTATTTCAATCTGTTTTTTAGGATTGTGTGTTGCAGCAAAAGCATTGAAGTGAGACTTATTTTTCTCTCTGGACTGTGCATAGCAGTAGCTGTTGTTTGGGCCGTGTTTCGAAATGAAGATAGGTATGAGTCAATTTGCTTTTAGATTAAGGATGGATTATTTTATATCTTGCTCTGATAATTATTTGTTATGATTATTATGGAAGTTTTTTGCTTTTACCCCAGAACACCATAGTCTTGAAAAAAGTTACTTCTTAAATAAGCAGATTTGTTGTGATATAGAGAATAGACTTGACATTATATAGAGAAGGAAATATGAATCATGATTTAAACATTTAAGCTGAAATAAACTTCAAAAATGTACTTAATTATTATATAGCCACACAATGGAGTACAATACACCTATAAAGAATGAGGAAAATCTCTTATGAATTGATACGCAGTGATTTCCAGAATATATTTATAAGTGAAAAAAGCAAAGTGCAAAAGAATATCTAGAATATGCTACCTTTTATTTAATAAAGAAGGAGATATAAGAAAATACATGGGTATCTGTCTATTTGCAGGAAAGATGACCAGAAAAAAATGTATATTTAAGTTTGTTTAATGGTTTTTTAATAAAATCATTAAAGCCCAAATGATTTAATGGTCTAAAATTTAGGCGTCAAGTTCATATACTTTTAGGCAGCTTCAGGTGTGATAAATCAATTGATAATTATTCATATCAGTTTCTGATAAAGTATGTTGTATAGCTCTTGTTTCCTTTATATTCTGGCTACCTGGGCATGTATTAACACCAATATCCTTGTGATGAGTTACCTTTCTAGAAAGAGACGTGTATAAATTCAAAGATTAAAGATAAATATGCACTTATTTCTGATACACATTTTTCTGAGATAGCCATTCAACTTTTTCTTAGTGTAGTATTCATTATTCTACTAGGACAGTAAATTATTAAATATGGAGACTCGGACAGGTTTTTTTTTGTTGTTGTTATAATTGCTGCTTAATTATTAAATAGTCAAATTATAGCAATTGAACAGTATTATTTTAGTGATCGCTTCTTTTGAAAAGTTCCATCAAAAATAACTGGATAAAACAGTAGAGTAACCTCTTTTGATTTTAGGTGGGCTTGGATTTTACAGGATATCTTGGGAATTGCTTTCTGTCTGAATTTAATTAAAACACTGAAGTTACCCAATTTCAAGGTAAAGTATACTGCTTTTCTAGCTAAAACAAGTTTTTTCTTTTTAAAACAACTTTATTAAGGTGTAATTTACATACAATAAAATGCACCCATTTTAAGTGTACAGTTTGTTGAAATTTTATAAATGTGTAACTTTGTAACCACCATCTCTATCAAGTCCAACAACATTTCTCATTTTTTCAAAGGCTCTATCATGCCCTTTTGCAATCAGTCCTAGTCCCTAGCCCCAGATAACCACTGACTTGCTAGCTAAAATATTTTTAATCATTCATATAATATGACAAATTCATAAAATCCATAAAGGACTAAATATCAGGGAAGAACAGTTGAGTGATTCTTTTTTTTTTTTAAACAAAAAAGATTTAGATAAAGAAAAGTTTTGATGTGATTTGTAGAATAAAACTACAAATAGAATAATCATTAAATGCTTTAAAAATATAGTGTTCAAATGTATGCTCACAGTTTATTTGTAACTTGAAAAATAATCTCTTAATTTAGACATGGTAAGTTTGACCTTTAAATTTGTTTCTTTCTTCAACAGTCATGTGTGATACTTCTAGGCCTCCTCCTCCTCTATGATGTATTTTTTGTTTTCATAACACCATTCATCACAAAGGTATGATATTTTTTGAAATCCACGAGTAACATGCTAAAAGATGTTAACATGCTAAAAGAGAATCTTAACCCTGCCCTTAGATTATTGATTATGCAGATGTTTACCACTGAGTGAGATCTAATTTTTGTAAGAAAATTGTCACTGAAATTGGCATTTTAATAAAGGATATTGTCAAACCTTTAAGACATTCAGCTAAATAAAAAATGTCTCCTGGCTGATGCGAACATGAGAATGTCTATAAATTTGCTTCCTACCCTTTTTAAAGTAACTTTTCTTATGATTATAAAATAAATGTTTGCTGTAGGCAGTGTAGAATACAAAAATAATGAAATGTCAACACTGCTTTTATTTCTGTAGTCCTTATTTGAGACTAAGAAAGAGCACCACACTGGAAATCCGAAGACCTAAAGTGTAGCTCCATAACCTTGTAACCCTGGACAAGTCACTTAGCTCTTAGTGCTTCAGTTTTCTAATCCATTGTGTGAAAGAATATTGCTAGCATTTTATCTTCCCTCTTCATTAGTAAAAAATCTCTTAGTTGCTACTGACAGAATCCAACCTACCCTTTTATACTAAAAATGTCCCATCTCTGGAGGCTGTGTGTAGAGGCCAGGGTGGAGCTGGCCTTAGGAGAAACTAGATGCAGGGCTCCATGCTCTCCCACTCTGTTTCTGTCCATTTTTTCATTATCTCAGACAGGCTTTTTCCATGAGGTCAGAATCATAGCAACTGGAAGCTTCCTAGGTCATCTATTCACAGCTCTGCCACTAGTTCCTCAATAAAATGGTGATGCTGTTCCCAGAATAAGGAAGGGGTGTTGGGTGAGTGTAGTAATCTTTCATTACTCGCCCAATTTTTCCACCTTGTCCCTATTCCTGTCTCATGAATATATTATTAATTATTGCTTAATCCTCCCACTTTCCCCATTTTATTTTGAGTCTTGCTTCATAAATATATCATCTCTTTCTCCTTTGTCACTCTCATATATTTAGTATTTGATACTATAATCACTACTTATATTCCCATTGGTTCTTTATCTGTTCTTAAACCCAGCCTACCATCTGTGAAATCACTGTAAAACTCTGCACTTCTGATATTTGCTGTAATGGCATAAGACAACAAGTATGTGCTCCATCGGGGAGCTAAAATTGCAACTAGGTAACAAATGTAGTTAGTTAACTGCCCCAAATCACAGCTACCCAAACTTTTTTACTAGCACACGTTCACACCTTGATGATGAGCCATTTGACTAACTGACTTCATTTGTGATAGTAATCTACAAAAGCATAGAACTAATATTGTAGATTATAACAAAAATTGTTAATTTTCTATTTTTAAAAATTCTATCTAAAGTTGTCCTAGCTTGTGTCAGTTTTTTCGGTTCAATAAAACATCTCTGTAAGTCACTCTTTCAGAGATCTCGTAATGAAAGTATTCTCTCTACAAAGCCATTGTCATAGGTCAACAGGTAGTCATATATTTTACAGTGGCTATAGCTATAAACTATGACTAAATTCTTAACCATTCTATTTGAACACTAGTATCACTTTTTAGATGCCAAAAGTATCTGCCAGCAAACTATTTTCTACACATAAAAAGTTTTAGAATTTTAAAGGTATAAGGTAATAATCAAGATATCTTTAAGCCTACTTTCTTCCTTCTGTGCTTAGGGGATTTTTCATCTTTTCCATCTTCGTTCCCACTGACTAGGAATGTGATTTCTAGTAATCCGATCTGGTAGAAAAAACTGAAGTGCTCTTTGCTATTCACTGTTAAAGATTTACTTTAACACCTTCTTCTCAGTCTTGTTTGTTTTTATTAAGGCTATAGTACATAATTTGAAATGAGAATCAGATATGTCTGATTTTTGTGATTTTCAATGAAAATTTCAGGAATTAAATATTGAGCATTCTAAGCATGTTCTTGAACCTGGTATAGTAAACTTTAATGAGTTGGCAGAGCAGTTAGCCATTAGTACAGGTAGTAAGAGCCTTTCTTCATTTTTTTCCTCCACCACCGTACTTGGTATAGTATCTTACAAATAGTAGTTACTCAGATATCTTTGAATATATGAGAGTATGTCAATGACGGTCTTCAGTTAAATGTTTTAAAAACAATTAGAAAACAAACCAAAATGAACTCTTTATCGAGAAATTGAATCACATGATGGGAGTTTGCTGGAAGAAACTGTATTTAATACTAGTTTATTTTCCAAAACTCCTGTAACTTAACCCTTCTGTAACCCGAAGCTTAACATGAAGAAAAGATTTCTGTAGCTGGGGATTTTATCCTTCTTTCTACTCAGCTCAGGTATCAGTGAAAGCCTCTTAAAAATACTCTAGCGATATCTCCTATGAACCCCACCCACATGGAAAATATTATAGTTAGTAAATCAAATTTACCTAAAATTCAGCATTTATTTATCTTCCCATTACCTGTTTTAGTGATACATTTGTTATAATGTGAAGCATACGATGGGCGCTCATGCAGTCTTAGCTTGCTAACCTCAAAATGTTTCCTCACTCCACAACATACTTGGCTGTCAGGAAAGAACTTTTTAATGAACTCACACAGCCCACATTAAAAGACTTAGCCAAACACAAGGGAGGAAATTCAGCTAAGGTTAATGTTTTGATTGGGACATAAAAAGTAGGCAGGGCTGAAATTGGAAAGGAGTCAGGCTAGAGAAACTTCTCAAGTTCTTTAGGGTTGGGTCTGTTCAAGTTTGGCCTCATTGTTTTGTTATTGTGGTGAGTAGCCAGAGGTCAAATGTATATTTATTCAAATCTAAATATTAAAAATTTTAGTGTTTCTTGTGTCCCAATGGCGATTGTTAAAGAGACTAAGGACACTTAGTATGTGATATAACTATAAGCACTTAAAATTTGTAGCTGATTAGAAATGCTAGATACTAGTCGTTAATACAAATCAGTGTTTAAAGCTTCACTTTAATAAGTGTGTGGCTTATCTGTCAGTTTTTGATAATTGCTGAGTTCTGATAAAGTGGAACAGTGTGTTAGGTGAGTTTGTTTTAGATGACTCCAGATTTTACTATCTACAGAGATAGCAGTCTACAGCCCATTTTTCAACAATTTACAGTAGGCCATGAGCAATGGGGCCAAATCATTCTTGAATACTGGTAGGTTGTTCTCTTTAAATGATTGGACAGTTTCTTTCATCTTCTCAATTTTAGAACGGCGAGAGTATCATGGTTGAACTTGCAGCTGGACCTTTTGGAAATAATGAAAAGGTAGCGATGGCAATTAAACAAATGGTTGCCAGTGTATGTATGTGTGTCCTGTTTATAATTTTGCCTTCCTGTGTAACTCATTGGTCATGTAGTGCATGTTACGGTATTGTAAAACTTTATTTCTCACAAAATATAGCCCTTTTCTCAGTTATTCTAAATTATTAAATACCTATTGACTTGGGTTTCATCCTAGAATGATGGAAACTTGGTGGAAGCCACTGCTCAACCCTCAGCTCCCCATGAGAAAGTAAGGATTGTATTTCAGATATGTTCATTGGACTTTAAATCACACCCTCTGAGAAAAGACTCTTCTTTGGGGAAAAAAATTCAGATTGCAAAAAAAATCTGTTTCAAGGCCTGAGTCCTATTTTTGATAAAAAGGAAAAAAAAAAAGGTTAGATATGGGAATACTGGATTAATACTGTTAACCCTATATGTGTGTTGGGTTTCATTTTTCTCGCACTACAAATCTCTTTCTTTCAAGCTTTCTGATACATTGAGTATATATGTGTCTAGTTTATGTTCTCTAATTTCAAGTTCTTATAAATGTCAATTTTAAAATGTTAAAACAATTGTTCTAATACTAATCCTTCCTTTTCTAAAAGAAATGGGTAAAGATTCCTAAGAGGTTTATTGATGGCCCTTTTTTTTTTTTTAATTACAGTTACCAGTAGTCATCAGGGTACCAAAGCTGGCCCATTTCTCAGTAATGAGTGTGTGCCTCATGCCAGTTTCAATATTAGGTTTTGGAGACATTATTGTACCAGGTAAGCAATTGTTTGTAACAATTTCACTAAAAATATACTGATGGTTTAAAATTCTCAAATGCATAGTATCTGTTAAAAGTTACCTACTTTGTATTAAATATTTCTGTATTAAATATATCAGTAGAGCTGGGATCAGTAACATAGAAAGAAAAACATTTTGAGGTATGGAAGATAAAGCCTAATTGGTAACGACCAAAGTATATCTTCCATGACTGAAAAAGTGTCTTAGATGAAGCAACTAGGATCAGTTTGACATTCTTTCCCAAGAAAGTATAATATATATTACACCCTTTTTAAAAGTCAAAGGTAATAATACCAAATCCATTAAAGTTTCTTTTCTATTTTTAAATAATAGTTATATTTTAGGAAAAGTAGTTTAAGAATACTAGACAAAGTCATGATTAAGAGGGGAAACATAGTAGAACACCAGCTTGTAGGGCACTGTGATACCCAAAAATACGGCATGTAGTGAGTCAGTCACCTCTCAACGTGTCTTTTCTGACAATGACTGCAGTTCTGCATTATTTTCCCATCTCTGACGGTGATTGCAGTTCTGCATCATTTTCCCATCTCTGACGGTGTTTTCCTAACTGGGCTACCTATAGAATAAACTTAATCCTAGCTCATTAATAAACTAATTTAGAAGTAATTAATCTTTCTCATCAGCTGACAGTTTGTCCTTCCTCACTTTTCTTACAGTCTCCTTGTGTACTAACTGCCTATGGATGGGTAAAGAGTGCTAGCTCGTCTGAAAAAACTCTTTCATTTACATAGCAAAGCCAGGTAGAGGGAGAATTTAACAGTGTTGCCTTGTGAGTTGGTGTGCCAGAGTCCAGTGTTGGCAACTGGTCTTAGTTCAGTGAGTCTCCATTCAAATAAAGTAGGGAGAGCATTCTACTGAGTAACTTTATGATTTGTCAGATACCTTTAATCTTGTCCCCAATTTTATTACTTCTACACCAAGTGCTATATAAAATCTTGTATATAGCACTTAGCATCGAATTGAGGGAAAAAGTATATAAATTTTACGTTCTTGAAGTAAATGTTAAAGGTCCCAAACAAGTATTTTCCCAAACAGCAGAATTTTTGACAATACATGACTTAATTGTAAAAGCTATATTTCTGATTTGGGTGGAGGGAATACCATTTTTTTAAGCACGCAGAAATGTAATTAAACAGCAAATATAATAAAAATAACAAGGACTGTCAAGGAACTTATTTGATTAATTATGTTGGAACCAAAACTAATTAATTCAAACAACCAATAAAAATAATAAAATTATTCTATGATTTTGAAATAGTTAAGTGTCATTTTTACTGTTTTATAACAGTGTTAAATCAGTAAATACAATTGAAACTTCTTTGGAAAGGGTCAACAGATTTCTTAAAAGAAATAGGTAGTAAAATGGGTTATTTCTGCATACATGCATATTTACAAATGGGAGCTTATATTTAATTTTTATTTGAACTCTTTGTATTAAAATTCCAAGTCATTTTATTCTATGAGGGAGACTTAGATCACAATTTGAAATTGCCTTCTTTGATGCTTTTCAATATGGTTTTTTAAAATGCTGTCTTCAAAATATTTTCTTTATTCTGTATATGAAATGGATCTAACAGACATATACAAAACATTCCATCCAACAACAGTATAATACACATATTTCTTAAGTGCACACAGAACATTTTCTAGGATATATGTTAGACTACAAAATAAATCTTAGCAAATTTAAGAAGAATGAAATCATGCCAAGAGTATTTTCTGACCACAGTAGTATGAACTGTGAAATCAGTAACAAGAGGAAAACTGGAACATTCATAAACACAGGAAAATTAAACAACCAATGGATCAAAGAAAAATTTTAAAGAAAAATGAAAAAGTATCTTGAGACAAACAAAAATGAACCACAACATTCCAAAAATTGTGGATGCAACAAAAACAGTTATAAGAGGGAAGTTTATAGCGATAAGCATATACATGGAGAAAATAGAAAGATCACAAACAACCTATCTTTACACCTTAAGGAACTAGAAAAAGAAGAACAAACTCAGCCCAAAGTTAGTAGAAAGAAGGAAATACTAAAGATTAGAGTAGAAATAAATCAGAGAACAGAAAGACAGTAGAAAAGATTAACAAAACTAAGAGTTGGTTCTTTGAAAAGATAACAAAATTGACAGACCTTTAGCTAGACTAACCAAGAATAAAAGAGAGACTACCCAAATCAATAAAATTATAAATGAAAGAGAAAATATTACAACTGATACAACAGAAATATAAACAATTTTCTCCATGACACGAAATAGTAAGCAGCTAATAAAATCATGTTTTTAAAGACTATTTAATGGCTTGGAGGAATGTTTAAAATAGGGCATTAAGTACAAAAAATTAGCATATAAAATTTTGTCCAGAATTTGAGGTACTTCAATGTTCTCAGGATGCAAAAATGAAGGTTAAATACAACGTGTACTATTGCCACAGTTAACAGTTGAATTTGTGTTACAGTTGTTGTTTAACATGGAATGTTTTTTTGTTTTTTTTTTAAGGTCTGTTGATTGCATACTGTAGAAGATTTGATGAACAGACTGGTTCTTCTTCTATATACTATGTCTCCTCCACAATTGGTAAATTTTTTGTTTTTTCTTTTTATTATCTTGAATTGTATTATCTGTAGGAAAAGGTAGAGGTCTGAAAATAAGGATTCTAATTCTTTACCATTAACTAATAAGATAATTCTTTTTCCTTCAAAAAAGGATAATTATACTACCTATATCACAAAGTTTTCAAAGTTTAAAAAGGAAGTTATATGTGAAAGAAACACATTAGGTTCTATATAGAAAATGCTTATTAAAGCACCTGGCACATAAGTAGTCAATAAGTTGTATAATATTAGACTTTTTAAAAAATACTGTATGGATAACTTTGTGTTTATATAAATGAATTATGGCAAAATAACATCTTACTTAGGACAGCAGAGGTAGTTGTTAACTTACCTCTCTGTATTATTGAAAACAGATAAGAACAGAAAGGGAGCCAAAAAATAACTTTAATACTTCTGAATATATCAAATAGATTATCTCAAAGTCCATACACTGAAGTTCTTTATACTTAGGTAAGGGGCCTGCACCAGAGCCAATTAGATACTGTTCTAGCAAGGTTTTCAATTCCACAGTAGAATTAAGTCCAGTAAATTAAAAGTATACATTAGTAGTAGAGAAGGCTGTTGCTAGAAATAGGTACTCTGACAATAAGAAAGAACAGTTAAGTGAGTGAAAAGATGAAAAAAAAAAAAAAGAAAAATCTATAAAGAAATAAGAAAAGCAATCTGAGGCCATTATGTATGGTACTTTGTAAGGTTATTAACATAATAGAGTCACAATAAGAGAGTCACAGTGATACAATAAAAGAACACTCAATGAAGTTATATAATAGGACCGTCTGTCAATTCTGCTGTTTAACTTTGGGCAACTCACTTAACTTCCCTGATTCTCCATTGCCTCATCTATAAAATGAAGCGAAAGAGTAAATTGTCTGTAAAAGCCAATCTAGCTCCAAAATTCTGAGGTCCTATGTTCATAATGAGACCCTGAGTCATTAAGAAAAGATCAAATGATGTTTGGTATACTTTTGTTGAAGAAGTTCAGGAAGTATATAATCAATATTAGGAATATCTTTCAAAGCAACCGTTAGTACCTATAGGTACAGATTTTAGTTATCTAAAATGTGGACCAACTCAAATCCTTAATAGTGACAAATAATTGAGACTTTATTGAATTACTTCTTTACCTATGATTGATGATTAGGGTAATTATAATTGAAATACCAGTTTCCAAAATTTTCAGAAGTTCTGTAAAATGTCTCTCCTAATTACTATCTAGAAAAATAATGAAATTATGAGAAGACAACATAGGGTAAAAATGTCTTCAAATATTTGAAAACCATCACTTCAATGAAGGAGTTAAAATCCACCTTTGGGAGCATGTAGAAATGACTGATACCTGGTATTCTTCTTGCAGCCTATGCTGTTGGCATGATACTTACATTTGTTGTTCTGGTGCTGATGAAAAAGGGGCAACCTGCTCTTCTCTATTTAGTACCTTGCACACTTATTACTGCCTCAGTTGTTGCTTGGAAACGTAAGGAAATGAAAAGGTTTTGGAAAGGTAGCGGATATCAGGTATGTGCTTATGTTTCGTTTACTGAGTTATCTTATGACATACTTCACTACTGACTTAAGCTGGGAGCTGCCTATGTATATCAGAGCTTTTATGTGCCGAAAAGTTATCTTGGATCTCTCAGGATGTCCTAAGTTTTTTCCACTACTGCCCCCTTCCCGTCCACTTGCTGTGTCATCATTTCTCAGTCCAAAGTCAATCTGATGCCAAAATCCTGGTGACTCAAGATAAAACTACTAGGAAGAAGTGGAAGGCATCAGGGAAAACCAAAACAGCATATCAACATGAGTTTGTAAAATCCACACAAAAGTAGACGTAATGAGGTAACACTCTTTTTAAGTACTGAATTTTGAGAGTGACATTAGCTATTTATAGTAATAGTCCTAAGGTTTTGCAGATAAAAAGTATACTCTCTTCAGCATTTCAGTAGGCCTGACTAAATTAAGTAGGGCACTCATTTCAGATTTAAATGGATCAAGATTGACCTTTCTGTAAAATTTCAGAACAGAGAAAATCTTGATACCAGAATCTATTATATTTGAGTTCTTTCTTCGCTGAAGTTAAACCCCTTTCTTCTTTTTCTGAATGTTCTTGGTATTCCAGTAAAGTTTGTTTGCATGGAAATTAAAAGGTTGGGAAATCCTAGCCTTTGAGGTCAGGGTCATGGCATTGATTCCTTCATGTAGCAGTTAGCTTTGCTTTGCCCTATTGCAACAAACTGCCCTCCTCCATCCATCCTCATGCATGCATATCAGTGGTCACATGAACAAAATAGAGATACTTTGAGTGGATGGCTACAATTCTGTTAGTAGATAAACAGTTCAAAGTTCATACCCATCTTGTGGTTGGTCTGTAGGATCATTTTTATTTAACAAGAGGTGATTTAACACATTAAGTTAGATTATCATAATTGGAAAAAGCACTGATCTAGAGTTTTTTTAAGTATCTTGTAATTTCTCTGAGATTTATATAAAATAACAGTACCTGCCTTGCCTACCTCACAATGCTATTGCTTTAATTTATATTTATACACATAGACTTAGTTTATGGTAATGTTTCCATTAAGAGGACATCCACATAGATTTTTTTATAGATTAAAAAAATTAAAGTATGCCCTACTAATAGCCTTTGAAAGTCACATCCCCCTAAGTGCTCTTTGTCATCCTTTTTAAAACAATAGCTTTATATTTCTTCATTTAGCAAATGTTTATTGAGCAGTTCTATGACCCAAGTACTATTTTAGGTGCTGGTGATAAAAGATGAACAAGTTAGAAACAGGCCTACTCTCACAGCCTCTTGAAAGTTAGAGTGTAGTGAGGGTTGCAGATAGAGTCACTAACAGTAACGTGTGATAAATGTATCAGGGTAGCGTGACATGAAAGCTAGAGGTGGGACACCCAGTGCTTGTGGTTTCATGACAGAGTCAAAGGTGATTTTGGGAAGGCTTTTTAAAGAATATAAAAACCTATGTTGAGACTTTAAGCTGTGTTCCATATTGAGGGAACCATGTCTTCAGAGGGAAGAGTGCATGGCACATTCTAGGGACCAAAAGGAGTTAAGAGTGACCATAATGTTGAGTAGGAGTAAGGGAGCTGTGGGAAATGAAAACTGGAGGAGGAAATGAGGTCAGAGCCTGTAGGGTCTTGTAGCCATGTTAAAGGGTTTGGATTCTGTCCTAAGAGCACTGGAGACGATTTGATTAACTGATTATGACTTAAGGGTAAGGAAGATGAGCAACATGAGGAAATTTTGTTTAGAGTTGGCATTAAATCCTTTTTTTTTTTTTTTTAATAAATTTATTTCAGTTAGTTTCAAGAATATAGTACATGGTTAGACATCTATAATGTTCATAAAACGATCCCCCCAAATGCTCCCTCCCTCCCCTGGCCCTCTACTTAGCAATCATATTAATGCTAACTGCATTCCCTCTGCCGTGCTCCCCATGCCCAACTATCAACTATTGATTTGTACTTCTTTAACCCTTCACTCCATCTTTACTTACGTTAGAATTTAAATTTGGGACTGTTAGAACACATGTGCTATCTTATAGAATTAAATTATATTTCTTGTCATTTTCATCAGCAGCATTTCATTTTTACTCATAAAATTTTCCTTCCCCTTTAATATAGCTTTTAAAGTACTTTATTATTTATTATTTGACAATGTAGGAAAATACAAGAAAATTAAATCCACCCGTAATCCCACCACCTAGATAATCTCATTCTTAAGATTTAAGTAAGGTTCTTTCTATGCCTTCCTAGATAAATGGATAGGGGAGTAGTAGATGATACCATACTCTAAGTAATTCTCTCTTGTCTTCTTTCTCCACTGCATGTTTGTGTTATTTAATTTTAAATTCCTTGTAAGAATCATTTCAATGGCTGTATAATATTTTCTTACTTGTACTTACCATACATTATTTCACCATTTCCATTGACCCAGTAATTTCTCTTCAGCGGTTCATCCAGAAAATGATTAAAAATTTGGGCAAAATTGACATGAAAAGATGTTCATTAGTGTACTTCTAGTCATCTTTGTTGTATTTAATGACTTATAGGTTAATATTATTGGCAGTTAATGAACTAAATTTTTTACATAGACCCTAATCCTGCTTTTACTTTGTTTTTCTTTTTGTATTTTAATTACGAAGTAATGCATGTTTGCATTTTTTAAACCAACAATACAAAACTCTAAATATTGAAGGCTATCTTCCAACCCCACCCCTACCCTGAAGGGGCAGCTACTCTGAACAGTTTGTGTGGAGCGTCCACATCTTTTTTATGCCAACTCATACTAAAAATAGTTGAATATTTAGAGATGTTTTATAGGTGGATATAACAACATTGTGTCTCTTTGGAAATATTCTACAGCTCATTTTTTCTAGGGTTTAATGTAGCACCTTCTTTCTCTCTCCATGTTTATTGAGGAGAAAGGGTTGTAGATAAGGAAGGAATTCAAGCATGGGATGCTTTTATGTTACCTATGAATAAAAGCTCTGCCCTGGACCATCCAAATTTTATTCTTAAAAGTTATGATCTTGAAAAAATTATGATCTGCTACACAACAGCTACCTGTAAAGGGAACAATCTTTGCAGTTGGATACAAAGCAGGTACTAAATCACCCCAGAAGGACAGACTCCAGGGCTTTCATCATGTGACATAGTAGCTAAATAAGGATATTGATTGTAGGAAAGTCCTTTAAAAGTGTCTGAAAAGATAGAACAACTTGGTTATACACTTCTCACTTTTGTAGTGTGGTGTCGTAATTTTACTAAATAAAGACATTCAAAATGTAAAATAACACATAGTAATAAAAAGCGTGGAGTCTGCCGCCAAATTGCCTGTGTATGAATTCTGATTTTGTTAATTATTAGCCGTGTGATCTTAGGCACGTTACTTAATTTCTTGGTGTCTCAGTTTCCTCCAATATAAAATAGGATAATAACCATCCTACTTAAGAGGTTTGTTGTACTATATATAGAATGATTAGACTAGTACGTGGCACAACGTTAAGCACTTTAAATGTATTTGCTATTATTATTTGTAGGAATTGGAGTTTTACGCTTTGGTTTATTTGTTGTTTTGGCTGTTATTTTTCAATTCATTAACTAGATTTCCATTTTCCTGGTTTGGGTATCAAAACTTTGGGTCTTTGTTAAATCTGGTCCCTTTAATTTATTTGTAAAAGGATTTGATACCCATCACAGCTGTTTGTTAAATGCAGTCATTTTCCCACTGTGCACTAGATTTTAAAATATGAAGAATGGATATTTGCTGAAATTTTAAGCAAGCTAATTGTAGGATGGTATAAACTGCTGCCAAGAGAGAGTTCATTTTTCCAGAAAACTAGCATTTTTAAAAGTTATACAATGTGATGCCTTCACAAAATTATTTTCCTGTTACTATGAAAAAGAAAAATCTCTCATTGCTTTTTGTCCAGCCTTTGAAGTCAAAATTAATTTAGTTTGAATGTTACCATTTGTGGTATATTATAGGTTATATACATAAAGTATATTATAGGTTTTGGCATCAGTTCTGGCAAATTACTTAATCTCTTAAGACTGTCTCTTCATCCATAAAATGAAGTTGGATCCACAGGCAGGTAGGAGAATGTGTAATCCATAGTGGTGAGTTAGCCCAAGACCTGGTGAGTCAGGTGAAATCAGATAAGGCTGGGCAGACGCTGGGAAAGGAGACCAGGGAACCTCAACAAGCCTGGTAAAACAGAGGGAGACTAGATATGGACCCCTTCTGTGTAAGATAAGCCTGAGGGTCAGCTCTGAAGACAACTGTCAGACACCTGGTTCATCTCTTAGGCTAACAAGTGTAATAATCATTTCCCTCCTCTCCCTATCTCCATTACCTTTATAGTATTGGCAGTCTCAGTTTCTAGAATATCCCTTATGTAACTCCCAACTCATAATCAGCCTTCTCCAAGCAGACATCCAAGAGTTCTCTAACTGCAATTAAGTTCGTTCACCTTTCCCCATATTTTTTTTTTAGACTTTGTACTTTAAATACTTATTAACATCTGCCTTCTGATGTAGATATTTATGTGCCTCCCTAAGTTATTAGCTCCGAAGTGCCGATAACAGTGTTTTATATACTGGAAATTCTCAGTGTTACTGAAATTCTTCCTGCAAAGTAGCTGTAATGTTTGGTCCTTAATCCACTAACCTTTAGTCAGTTTTGTATGTGTGTATATAAGCTTCTTGATTGTTTTTTAGCAGCCCTCATAAAATTACCAAAATTGTTATAAGGTATAAAAGTGAGGCACTTTAAAAACATTAAACTAGACCTCTATTTCTACAATCTGTATATAGAATCATTTTTTTTGCAGATGCTAAAAATTTTTGCTGCTGTTTTGAAATAACTCAAGATAAAACAAATAATATAAAATAAAGTCAGAATCTAAGGCAATGGCATCTTTGTTTATGCTGTTAATCATTTGGTTATTCTAATGCCTAATATTAGCGTGGAGTGCATGAACAGTGGTGGTAAAAAGCAGGGCTTTCCACTGGAGACTTCTAAATGTAATGGGAAGCCCTGACAGCCTTTTTGTGTTGTTTTCAAAGGGCAAATTATACCTCCCTTGTTGTCGAAACTTAGAGAGACTTCATAGAATACTTAAGTATTTTACATGGAGTGTTACTGCCCTTTCCGTGAATTTCTCTGATCAAAATAAGTAATGTTTCTATAGGATTTCACTAAAATAATACTAATTTCGAAATCTCAATTGTATATTTTTTCTGTAGCTCAAAGCTACTTAACACTTTTTTTCTAGAATGCTTCAAGAGTACAGTATTTGACTCCATTTATTTGATTTTACTAAAAGTCTTAGTTCTAATTAGTATAGAGTAAATAAAGGTGTATTTTCTCTAGAGAGAAAAATCAGGCAGTAGTGTAATTACTTTGGCATGTAGAACAATTAAAAGAAATAATCATCTTAGGGGATTTTTGTTTGTTCCTAATCCTAAATCAGTACAGTTAGATTTATGCAGCTATCTCCAATGGGCAGTTTTACTCTGGGTGGGACGTAAGTTTTCAGTTTGTTGATATCCAGTATACAATGGGTTTGTCTCTGTTAAATGTCACTAGTGCTTCTAATTATTTTTAGAAGTCACAAGCTGTGACTAACTAGTCAGAGTAGAGATACTTAGAACAACTCTACTTTAGTATCAACAACTCTCCAGTAACTCTCCTGCTTTAATGAGTGTTTTATTAAACTGTTTTTGGAAATTGGTTTAATTATAAATAAGCAGAGCTATCAGTAAATGATATGTTTCTATATTATTTTCATTGAAAAGTCAGTAAAGAAAGGTAAATACAGAGTAGAGAAGTTTACTTCTCAGTAAGTTGATTTTTAAAGTGTTTTTTAAAACTAATATAGTTCTATACTTAGGGATTAGATTCCCTAAGTTATAGAACTAATATAGTTCTATACTTAGGGATTAGATTACAGTACCAATGAGGTGCCTGAACATTAGCAAAGTAGAGGCATATTGGAACTTAAAGTATGTAGGCTATTATTTCATTAGGTTACAGGTACCAGGGTAAACAGGTCTTGAGGAAGAAAGAGGGTTTCCCCACCATCCATTAGGTGAGGTTGCTTCCATTCTCTCTCACCACAGCTCCAGCCTCTTAGACCCAGAGCTTCTAAATTCCTAGAAGAAAGGGGGGCTAAATATATCTTACATGCTTCTCCTTTCACTCCTTCATTTAAATTGTGACTAAAATCAACTCTTCAACAACTTCACCTTATGTTTCATATAGTAAAATGCTTAATAAATGTTACCTGCCTTGATTTGACTTCTTCTGTCCCTCCAGAAGAGCTACGCACATGTAACTACCTTCATATAGGGGATATCTTTGGCAGACAGAGGACCTCAAAACTGACTGGTGATTTGCGATGACTCAGAGTATCAGCAAGTTTGAGTTATATAAGCTGTCTCTCTATACTTGAGACTGTTGTCAGCTGAAAGCCTCAGCTCATATTGTATTCTTCTTGTCTGGCGAGTCCTGAGACCCTATTTGGAAGTGCTTCAGACCCTATTTGGAAGCTTCTCTGCTTCCTCTTCCAAAAAACACTAAAGCTTATAGAATCAGTTTACAAAAATAAGAACATTTATCTTGCTGGTCTTTTCTTCTGATTTTTGATAAAGGAGAAAAAAAAGTGCATCACAATACTGAAATTTAATCACTAATCTAAAAATCTTTGACAATATTCACAAAGACATTAAGTATTTTTTTCTATTTTTAAGGAATTTATCTGAAGAACAGGGTAAAAACACTGAAAATATTTTAAGCACTTCTTCCTTCATTCCCAAATATGGAAAGATTTTTATGGGAATATAGGAAGAGCTGAAGTGATCATTTGAGAAAAATTTAACTGGTAATTAATTCCTCTAAAATAGTCTATAGCAAACGTATTCTTGATTTTGTTTTTAGATATCATTTGACCTTAAGTACCTTGAAGTTACTTGTTTTTAGTAGAAATTTTTGTCATACAATATTTCCAGAATTTCATATCATTTTTAAGTTGTCTTGAAGTCAGTTCAAGGTGTCAACCAGGCTGCACTGTTCCCGAACCAGCAAGTATTCTTACAGTGAGTCGTGGGGCCATTTTTAGTTTTTTCACTTCTAGGAGTGGACGCTGATTGGTATAGTGTCCTGGAATAAGCATCAAGAATATCATCCTTTTACAGTAGGGTTCCCATTGGCATGAAGGGCAGTATTCATTTAGGGAAAGGGAAATAGTGAAGGTCCGGAGAAAGCATTTATCAAATTGGCCCTAAGTCCAATGATTGGGCTTGCCGAAAGGTTCAGTGTCACTTCAACCACATCCTTAGGAGCATGGATGTTGAACCAGTAAATTACTCCAAAAGGGAGTGCTCAGGTCCATAGAGCACTCTGTCATTTTTAAAAATTGGGAATCCGTTTGCCAAATTAGTGACAAGTTGAAAATTTGCATTTGCTAACATGTTTGTTTATACCTAGATGATGGACCAGCCGGACTATGCAACAAATGAAGAAAACTCTGTGACTCCTGGTGAACAGATTGTCCAACAATAATATTATGTGGACCTGCCATAATGCGTCAATTGATTATCTACAAATAGAGTTCAACTTTTAAATTGACTTTTGAATTGACAATCTGAAAGAATCTCCAATGATAGCTTGCAAATATGTATTTCTAAGCACTGGTACTGACAATTACATCATAAATAATTAAAATACATTTACTTTTAACTATGTTAAAGTTGTGCCTTCACATTAAATAAAAGGATATGGCCTGTGTAATTTTCAGAATGTATTATATACAGTATATTTTTCTAAAAAAAAGGTCTTAACTCACCCCTGCACTTTTCTTACTGAAATCTGTTCTTTTTCAACTCTAGTGACAGATATAAGTATTTCTGTCAAAGTGAGTTTCCGAACAGATTTTCTTGTAAAGGTTTATGCAGATTTTATGATCTATAGAAATAACTATTTAAGACCATGCAAAAAGGCAGTTCAACAATGAAATTTTGGTCTTTTATCACTGCAAAAGTTAGAAAAATATAACTTGGGAATATACATAAATGCATATTTTTATAGTATAAGTTAACAAAGATTCCAGTCCTTTTTTTAAACTTGAGAACCTAAATTGTTTCAAATTGCATATGTATTATATTAGATTATTTTTCCAGATTAGAGAAACATAATATATAGAACTAGTCATTAAAAGGACACAAAAACTGAAGTCCACAGTTTTCAGTGGTCTGCTGTTTCCTTGAAGATGTAGCTTATATTTCTACATTAACATTCAATTTCACTACAGCATTTCTGATCTCTGAAGTTTGGTTCTGTTGATGTTAAGGCTTGATATTTTGTATAAATTATTTTTTTATCAAATTGTATATTGATACATATAGCTCGTTGTTTGAGTGTAACATCTCTAACAATCCTTCCCCCACTTTTTTTCCTGATTCCCACTCCTTTCCCCAAAGGAAACCTCTTAACCTTTTAATATTTTGGTGGAGGATGGTTTACTAATATACAAAGTGTGCTTCAGAGGAAAGAATTGGAGACAAAAGACAGAAGACTGGGTGTTAGTTTCAATTTAATTATATTACAAGAGTTTGTGTAAACTGTCTTAGCTCAAGACACTTGTGTTTCAGTTTTCTCATCTATAGAATGAGTAGTTTAGACCAATTAATCACTCTGGTACCTCCCAGCTTGAAAAAATCTTTTTCATTCTTTGCTAAATCTCAGATGTGGCCTTGAACGTTCTACTGGGAGTCAAACATCAAATTATCTTTCCGTTTTCTTATTTTCTCTTGAGAAATTTCCAAATGACAAGTGATTGCAAAGGCAGCAGAATTTTGCATTTCTCTGTAAATAATATACAAGATATGTGAATAAATCTATGATCTTTCATTCTAAGTCCCGTTTGATTGATTAAAGGATAAAGCTAATGTCTTTTAAAATGATTCAGAGCTTTGATTCAGAGCTTAAATTTAGCATTTGAGAGAATTAGATGTTTTTGTTGGTTAACTTGCTGAGTAAATTGTAGATAGAGAGGCTCTCTTGACAGCCCTCTATCCACTTAATACACTTATGGGTTCTTTGATAAATGATAAGTAAGTATCTGACAAGTAAGGGTTAATCTTAATTTTGCCTCCATAATATCATTTGAATTTTTTCCAAAGAATCTGATTTAGTTGGCAGACTCTGATAGAGAGAAGAGATTAAGTGCCATTTTAAAGCTCCAACTATATTTTGCTTTATAATATCAATAAAATGTTTGCCAAAATACAGCTTTTTTAGTAAAATTATCTGCATTCTCATCCCAGCTTTTTGATTTTCAAAAGCCTCAACCACATTTTATGAAGAATGTTAAAGAAAATTTTACATGTAGAATTCTGAAATTTTGGCTCATTGATACAAATTCTACTCTATCCAACCATTATTTAACAAGGAAGTTAAACCTTGTTCTAGTTTGCTATTAAAATCTTATTGATTAATTAGAAATAAGAAACAAAAAGTGAAATTCTTTGTTTCTCCATCCTCAGTGTCAATTTTACATTGTACTTAAACAATTCTTCAATCAACCCAGCTGAAAATATTAAGAAAAATTATAAAGTACAGAAATATTTTATTTTGGGAATCAAAATGAACAAAGGGTAGGGGAGATGAAAATTTGGCTTTTAAAGGCTGTATCATGTCTTCTCTTGCCCTCCTACAACCCATAACTTTAAGGGGAAGAGAAGTTGTTTTTTCCTAAACATGTCAATAAGGTTACTTATTGAAAAAAATTATTCTTAGAAATTCTCCCTGAACATTTTTGTAGCTTATCAAATAACTAAGTATCTCAAATTGTAATATAGGTGATTTTTACTTCAGTTTAGTTTAGCAAAGATAAATATGAGGTTTGTTAGGAAAGACCTTGCTATTCTAATACATTATACTTTCTTCTGGCTTGTATTCTTTAGATTAGCAGTACCTTACTAGTAGAATCTGCCATTTCTCTTTTGAAAGAAGAAAACTTCAATCCATCTGTTGTTGGCATTCATAGATTTTAAAGTCCATAGAGATTTTGGTGAAATGGTGCATTTACAGTAAATACAAATGAGCTTTCTAATATATTTTTTTTTCTTTCAATTTTTGCCTTAGGTATAAGCAAACATGGTTTTTACTTTTGACCAAAAAATATTTGAACTAATTTATTTAAGCTTGATCTCTAAATTATCAGCCTGTTCTCAACCAATGAGACATCAAAAACACGAATTACATTTCAGACTGGTAGAATGTACTAGTTTGAAAGGCTTTATATTTATCCATTAATGAGGAAAAGAGTTCGATTTAAAATCATGCCAAATAACAAATTCTACAGTTAAAAACTTTATTTTCAGTGATCTATTTATCGCAGAGATAATTCTAAACAAGTTGGGGAAGGTAACGTAAATAAAATAAAAATACTGAATATTGCTTCCTGGAAGGAAGATACTCTGTAAATTAAAGAGATCTGAACCAAATTACTCAGTGTTTTGGAATTTGAAAGAAATTGTATAGTATGCATGATCTGGATTACTGAATTTTCAGTGTAAACAAAATGATTGACAGTAATATACAGGCCATGTTCTAATGAAGACCATATGTGTGAGCTTTCTCGTTTAATGTTTCTATACTTAAGGACATCTTTTGTATCTAAGAAATTAATCATTGGGGGGAAATTATTTCTTAAACTAAAGTTTTACTATAGTCCCATATTGCCAATTACAAGAAAAAATATATAGAATATTTAATGTCATGTGTTTCTTTGATTAGGCATGAAAAGTATTGTAAACAACTAATATTCCTTTGGAATATTGATTGTTTTAAAAAAAAAAATAGCCGAAGTTTATCTGGTTAGCCTGCAGAATTTCATAGTAAAACCAATCAATGTAAATTTGGCATTTTATATCTTCTGTTGTATTTTGTTTAACGAGAACCTTTTTAAAAATACATATGATTGAATTTTTACTTTTTAGATGATTGGTTTGAGTGTGGAATTCTTTTTTTTAACACTTTGATATGTAAGTTATATAAATTAATACTTTATAACACTATTAGGCTTTTTTTATGGAACATGATTTAAAATTAAAAAATTTTTTCAAGTGTTAATTTAGCAGTGCTTTAAAACTCTTCATTATGTGCCAATACTGACAAGAAAAACAATTTTTAATGTATTGAATTCATTATGATATTCAATAAATTCTATTTTAAAATGAAATTTGAATGTTTTATTTTGACTAGTAAAAATAATGGAAAATGGACTAAAAGTGTACTACTAGATCATATTCACATAAGGTATAAATGGTAATAATCACTTATGAAATCGTGTAGTTGTATAAGTCTGACAAATTTCCATAAAACCTAGATTTCATGTGGGTCATTTATTGGAAATTTATATTGATACATAATAGCCCTTAATAAATATTTATTGAATTAATGTATGTACAGACTTTTTTACTGAGAAAGTATCATAGCCCTTGTGATGAACAATTCTGGCTTTTTTAGCTTTGCTGATGTTGTTCCCACAAATACTACGATCCTCTGCCATCGTACTTCTTTTTAACTCAGATGTGGTTGGCCCAGTTTTGTATCTGGAGCATGTTTTGTCTTGACTACATGTTGGGGAAGTCTTGTTCCCTCCATGTCCTGCTGCAGAGGAACATTGTTTCATCCCACAGGCCCATGTCTGGAAAGATGCATAACAAACTATTATGTACTTGATTTTCAATCTTCTCACGGTTAGATGGCTGAGGGACAGGGGTAAGAAAGTGATTTATTTTTCACTATATATGTGTACTTTTTGCATTTTCTATCATGTACTTCTACTAAACTTCAAAATACAAATTATAAAAATTATTATTTTTCTCTTAATAGGCATTCATACTAATAGATGGTTAAATAGTAAATTATTTGTATTGTTTTCTCTTCCAAACTCCTGGAGTCATGTGATTGGGGAAAGTGTGGAGAGGGTCTCAGCATTCTATATGCAGACATTCACTCAAATACCATTTTCAGTGTGTTACCCATGCATACCCTCAATTGTTATTGGTATCCTCCCCTCTATTTTACTGTCTCCAGAGAATAAAACTCCAGTTTTCTGCCAGAGTCTGGGAGGGACATTTACTCAGCTATATGAAATAGGAGAAGAGATCCGTAGCTTTTTGTGAATGATAAGATTAGAAAATAACCATTTCATAATCCCAAATGAAAATTGTTTTAGGCAATGGTTATCAGCATATGAAACCATTAGATGAAAGGAAGGCCTTAAGCTGTCAGCACCTGAAATCATTGATAAATCTTAGAATTACCAGAAGTGGGACAACCAGACATTGTAGGCCTTTCAATATGATGCAGTGTGAAGCACAAAAAAGACAGGCTAGAATCTAATCAAATTTAGAGCAGGAACTTCTAACTAAGGAAAATCTGGAGGATGGAGGAACACATTAAATGACAAGAAAGCAAACTTTAAAATATAGAATATGTAACATTTAAAGGACAACTGATTCTTGCAATGAATCAACAGCACTGAGGGGAAAACAGGAAGGAGGTGCTGCTCTAAATTAAGAGAAATGTTTGTGACATGACACCCAAATGATTTGTGTGGATGTTGTTTGTATCCCAATTCGACAAACCAAACAATATTTGAGAGCCACATGTTGGAAAATTTGGTTATGAACTAGATATAAGACAATACCAAATAATTATTGATCATTTTTTAGATATGGCACATGACTAAGCATATGTTAATATACAGTCATGTGCTGCTTAGTCATGTGCCATGTGCTAGGGATATGTTCTGAGAAATGTGTTATTAGGTGATTTCATGGATGGGCAAACATCACAGAGTGCACTTAACACAAACCTAGAATGTACAGCCTACCACAAACCTAGGCAATAGGGTATAGCCTATACAGCATCTTACTGTACAAAACAACACTAGATTAAATCAAATACAAGAGAAAATGATACAAACAAGATGCACTAAAAGATGTTTGTGGCTGCTGCTAGTAAAACACTTTTACAGCAAAATTTTTTTTTTAATAAGTAGAGTACACTCCAAAATAACATTGAAAAGTATAGTAAATACAAAAACCAGCTGAATGGAAGTTTATTATTATCAAGTATTATGCAGTGTACATAATTGTATGTGCTATACTTTTACATGACTGACAGCAGTAGATTTACGCCAGCATCATTACAAACGTGAGTAATGCATTGTGCTACAACCCTTATGATGGCTATGTCATTAGGCATGAGCATTTTTCAGCTCTATTTTAAGAATGTTGAATATAGAAGAGCAAAATGACGTGATATCTATGATTTACTTTAAAATAAATCAGCTTCAGCTAAGAAAATAAGAAAAAAATAAAGAACAAAGTGCAGAAAAATCTTGACAACAATTTAATCTAGGTGATGAGTGTTTCTATTTTGCATATGTATGAAATTTTTCATTAGTTTTGAAAATTTGTTTCATAGTATTTCATGAGGGCACAAAATTACATCTGTGTTCAACTCATCACCTTTTATTGCATCTTTTTATGTTTTTACTCCAGCTATACATTTGGAATCATTCGTTATTAAACATTGTATTTAAATATTTAAAGCACAGAGCCAATTAATCCAATTAATAGCTGGTTGCTTGGTTATTTTATGTTTACATGTTTTAGAGTGTTATGTATACTGTAATTGGCTTTTATGATCTTGAAGTATATTAGGTTAAGATTGGCTACTTGAATGCTATCCCTTTGAGATCTTCAGGAAACAAGATGAAAATCTCTTACAAATAGTGAGGCAAGTATACACATACTCATACACATAAACACATATATATTTATAGTAACTTCATTTTAATACTATTTAACCTGTACTTTATGACCTTCCTTAGATAACCTTAAATGTTAAAATTTCAGTAAATTGTTATTAAGTTAGGAAATATATGTTAGTAATGTATATATATATTAGGAATAATTATATCCAGTATCAGAAAATCAGATTTTTTTAAGATTCCTTGTTTTCAATTTTTTACCTATGTAAAGAAAATCTTTTTTAGCAATCAGAATAAATATCAAAGCAAACAGCTTGTGTCATACTAAATAATCAAGTTTAAATAGACTGTTTTTCATAAATATTTTACTACTTAGCTTTGCTCAAAAACATTGATGTGTCAGTGCAAACGAATAACAATTCACAGCTAGAATCACCAATTAATAATTTTCAAATTGTAAAAATTAAAATCTACAGCAGTCTCATGCTCCTTAAATCCAGAATCACTTATGTGTACAACCTGATTGTTCATCCTTCAATTTTATGTGATTAAGTCTCTGCCTCAGACTGAAATTTGGAAGCTGGTATTTTTACCTAAGCTTCATCAGTTGATTTTTTTTTTCACTTTCTCAGGAAGTAGTTGAATCAAATGATTTAGGAATAGCTACACAATCAAAATTAGCTTTAGGAAATTATCATTGTTTACCACAGCTTGATGCATATAGTCTTAGACCATGCTAAACTCTAACCAACCAAAGAAATTCATTCATTATACACTCACATATGCTTCAGAGAAGTTCATGTAGTCCTAGCAATAACATTCTTCATCAACACAGTCTTTGCTAAATACAAAGGGGAATTTCTCTCTATGGTTACTGATCATTTGTTCTAGCTTTGCCTAAATCTAGTCACTTGGGGCAGAGCTTGAAAATTTGAGGAACAGATTTTTTTCCTTTAAAAATAAACTAAGGCCAAAGAAAAAGACTAAAAAATGTTTACTACTTATATGTTGTGTAACTAATTTTCAAATTGAAGAAGATTGATTTTCACCCTCTTGATTATTTAAGAACTATTTCTTGAATACCTATGATATGCCAGGCACTGTAGTAAGCTACTGGGGTTAGAGATTAACGTTTGAAACATTTCAATTATTTTTGGTTGCCATTTTATAAGCTTTCTTCTTGCAAACCAGGTTAATTCTTTTGAAAGAATTCCTAAGAAAGAAAATCCATTAATCCTCTAGCCAAAGTACAGCAAAATTTGTTAGAACTGGTTTAATCTCTCTCTGCTTATGTAAACAAAGGATTTGCCAAACATTTGTGAGTGTCTAATTTTAAGTGACAGGGAAAATTATATAAAATTGACATTTCATATATTTGCTCTTTTAAATTATTTTGATGCTTTAATTGATTTTAATTGTTTTAATGTCCCCAGCATTCTAAGTTGTTCCTCTTTAATTTTGAGATACAGTGTCCTTTCTCAGTTGCCCAGGGACTCACATTGGTGGCACATCCATTCGGGGAGAAGTCAGAGCATGATTAAGGTGGAAATAGTCACATAAGCCAACTATTTGGACTTAATGAACATTGTAAATTAAGATTCTTGATTAGCCGATTGAAAAGTCTGAGGAAAAGATTTTGTGAAAGATTGAATCATATATAATCTGTTCTCTATTAATAGTGGCAGATTTCTCAGTTGTGTTTTACTGTCATAAGAGGTAATATAGCATTAGGATTAAGGGCATAAACTCTGAATTAGACTGTCTTGATTGAAACCCTGGTTCTGCCCTATGCCTCTGTACAACTGGGATAATAATTATAGTATCTACCTCATAGAGTTGAGAGGATTTAATAAGTTAATGTTTGTTAAGTGAGTAGAACAATACGTGGCAAATAGAAACTATTGAGTAAATGCTAGCTATTCATTTTAAGGAAGTAATAACTGATGCTTTCAAATTGTTTCACTATTGTTTACATATGTAAATATAACTCTCTATCTGTGTGGATTTCAAGGTTTGTAAGAAATGTTTTAAATAATTATGGGAAGTCATAAAACCTGGCTCGTGTCAAAGAAAGTAATCATAAATTGTACTACTTGTTAGTCACTTCAGATATACTAAAACAGCATTCTAAAAATATTTTTTCTAGGTTAAAATTAAGCGTCTTTATTATTAAACACCCTAAAAACTCAGAGAATTTACTAATGTTTAAAATGGTTGCTTTAAAATTTCCATATCCCTACTACAGCTGTTTATGAATTTAAATTAACAATATGTGCTTCTGAAAGTTTCTAATTGTAAATGGAACAGCAAGTATTGTTTATATTTGTCGACAGATTTTAAATTACAAAAACAAAGAAGAAATTGTGGAGCTAATCACTGACATTTTTTGGATTGACTGAGGTTTTTTTATTTTATTTTATCCATTTCTCCTCCCTACTGTGTGGGAGTTATAT